CGGTTGTCGGAAAGGATTCGGGAATGGTTCTTTGCCTCTTTCGAGTACTCAAGCCCACCTTTTGTTCTTTGGCGGGCTTTCATTTTGGGGGCGGTGCCGGAGGATCAGTTGGAGGACCATAGGTGGTCCCCGGGACAACCACAGAAGTTGGGAAGAGGACTCTCATACATTCAGCAATCGGGCGTCCAATAACCCCCGAGGTAAGTTTTCGCCATTCCCAGAAATCCTCAACTGTCTCCGAGACTAGCTTGAAAGGGGCATAAAAGTTAGAAGTGATATAGACAAAGAGCTGATCGATGTAGAGTTTTATTTGGTGCGGCCAGCAAGACCATCTGGGGTGATTGAAAAAAAGTGAGGCGGAGAGATGGAACCCGGAAAACCTTGGCGACAACCAAAATTGATGGGCAAGATATTGGGACGAATAGTGGTAGGCGGTACAAATTTTTTACTCTTATCAAGTTTTTTACTGGGGAAGAAGGTTCTTGGTTTAAGGGCCGCATCCCATGAAAAGTGGTAGGTCGGATGTAGAAGATCGGCAGGAATGAAGTATAGAAAGTCGGTTTGTGGGCATGACCAGAAGGTTCGGTGACAAAGATGGTGTAGTTTTGGTAAGAGAAATATGGGATATCAAAGTGGTCGATCTCGATAATGGAATGAATGGTTTTTTAGGGTTGAGAAAATGATTGCGGTCAAGACAAAGTCGGAGTAAGGAAAGGCCTAGCAATCGGCCAGGGTCTGGAAAGACAGAAGGTCGTCCGGAGAAGTTCAAAAGAAAATAGAGGCAAAATTATAGTTCCGGGAACTAGAATGGTTCCAAATATACGGTATCCAGTTTGTCCTTGCCAGACAGACCTACACTCGCTTTAGCCAAACCTTCAAAGAGGTTGGCAAGGAAAAGGGTCCCCTGAGACCGACTTCGGCCTTCGGCTAAATTAATAGCAACATCTAAATGTGTATAAGTGATGCATTTTGAAGAAGGATAGACAACATGCCTGCACAGTCAAAAGATGAGGAAGGTGACATGCTCCTCAGTGGTCACTAGTGTGCCTCTTCGGCCACAACGAGCGTCAATGAAATGGCCCACGCATTGACCTTAGATTTTTGTTGGCCAATAGCCCAATCAGGATGGTCCAATGAGGGCTCCTCTCCGTTGAGAGTGTTGACCAACGGATCCTCCCCGACAATCAAAATTTGTTATTTTAACATTTTATTTATATATATATTGCATAATTTATTCTAAATCATTCATGCTTTAGTTATTTTCTTTGCATATGTTTGGTAATTAGCTGATAACTTTTAGTTGTTCGTTGATTCAATTAGTTGGTTTGACTAACTGATTCAATTAGTTCTTTGTATTGAAATGTTTGATAAAACAATTGTTTGATATTAGTTGTTTATACATAAAATGACAATTAATGACGCTTATATTTTATTTTTTAAAATATTTAATTTTATTCTTTTAGGTTTAAAATTTTAGAATTTTTGTTACTAGTTATTTGAAACTCTGAAAGCATTATAAATTATTATTTTTATTATTTTTAATTTGAGAAAATTAGTACTCCCTCCGTCCCGGTCAAGATGATTCATATAGTTAGGGACACGGTATTTTATATAGTATAGATTAATAAATTATTAATAATAAGTTATGATATTATTTTATTATTTTTTATATGAGTAGTTTATTGGTATTTTTTGAATATTTTTAGCATTATATCTCAATAAAATATATACAATATGAATATATATTTTAAAGAATAAAATTTTATATAATACAAATACATAAAAAAAAAATTTGTTTATTTGTTTATAATTAACTTAAAACTGATTTTATAAAAAAAAAAGTTTTAAATATAGATAAATATATATATATGTTTATTAAAGAGAAAGATAGAAATAAAAACGTTTTGAGTGGCCCTATGTGCAAGATATTAGAAATTTAATTTAATTAATTTAAATTTGTTAAATATGTTTAAAATAAAAAAAATACTAAAAATATAAATTAATCATTTTTAATGGACCAATTAAAAAAACAGTAAAGGAGGTCTGTCACCAGAAAGGAGTATATTTTTATTTATTGAAAATAATATAAATTATAAAATAATAATTTTCTTAAATATATAGATATATATTTATCATGTTAAATATTGATTAATTGATTGCTTTATTATATTTATAATTTTCAATAATTTTTTTTTTATTTTTTTTATTTTTAATATAAAATTATATATAATTAAATTAATAATATTTATATTTTTTATTTTATTTAATATGAATAAATTTATATATTATACAAATAAAATAAATTATTTTATTTTATTTTAAATTTATAAAAATAAAACTATCATTTAGTAAATAAAATGTATTAAAAAATTAATAACTAATGCAATACACAATATATTTATATATGTGAAATACATAATAATTTTTAAGGACAAATAAGAAATTAAAAAAAAATTAAAAGTTAAAAGGCTAATTGTTGGTTATATAGTTTTTCAAAAATTAGTTTTTGAATCAAATAATTATTTTCAAAACGCTATTTTATCAAAACACTTAAATTAATTGTAGCTAAAAACTATTTAATAAACTAAAAACTCTCAAAATAATTGTTTGCCAAATACCTCCAAGTGTAAATGATCAGTTAAGATAACTATGACCTAGATTAACATCTGAAAAATTATATAAAATAATATTATTGTGGTAATGATGATGACAGTCTTTTGTGGAATATTGATTGTTTTACATTATCTCATCTATTTTTTGGAGTTATCATTCAATGCTATTGAATAGAACAAAATATTACTTTAGTTAATTTAAGTGATGTATTATCAATGTTATGTATTGAATGGAACCAAATATTGTTTTGGTTAATTTAAGTGATGGATTATCAATGTTATGTTTTAATTTTATAGAGGTGGTCTAGAGAAGAAGTTGATAGAAATTTTTTTATTATAGTTTATAGTTGCATATACTATATTATTGGTTTGTTTAATGTGTTAAGCAAAGGAAGATCTTCTCATTTGTGATATGAAGATTTATAATTTGTATTTATCATTTAGAATTAAAATCTTATATAAGTTTGTACTACATTGAAGCTGCATTGTCGTCTGTGAATGCCTTCTCAAAGATTGCAACAACAACAACTATGTATGTTCATTAGTCTATCTACACTTGGATTGAAAATTTATTGTCGATTGTATTGAATTGATACTATTGCGTATTTCTTTATCTTTCAAATGTTGAATATTTTAGATGTGTATATTGCTCATTTGATATGGTTGTTAGGGAGCAATATTGTGTTTATATTTTTAGCATGTTGAAAAACGTCGTTGGATCGGTGTCATTTTATATTTTATTTTTATTTTTATTTTTATATTTGATATAAAAAAAAATTGTTATGTTATTTATGACGAAATTAATTATGTAACAAGTACCATTATTTTCATTATTTTTTTGTAACGATCTTTAACCCACTACAAATAACCACATTTTTTGTAGTGTAATGTGTATCTATATTGTATTTAATAATATTTGTGAAGAATCGTGCTAAGTAAAATTACTAAATGAACAACTCAAAGTTGTTATTTTAACATTGCACGTTTTATTTTATTATTGTATATTTTATTATAAATACATATAGTATTTGTTAACACAATCTATTTTAGGGTGACACAATTCTCATAAATATTAAAAACATATATAATATATATGTTTACATAATATATATGCCCTATTCATCCATCTAAAATCAATCATTCAATTCAATTCAAAATATTATTTTTATATTACGGATACAATTGTTTATACCAAATATAAAAAATATATTCATCTAAAATAATAAAGTAAATACACTCATAGTAAATTATTTAACTTTATTCCTTTGAATTTTTACAAAGAAATAAGACTAAATTTTTCGGGCAGAAGTAATAATTTTTATTGTTAGATATTAATTTGAAGTTTTTAAAATATTGTCTATTACGGAGTATTAAATTTGTAGCCATTGCTCTTTATTTAATAATTATTTTTTTATTATTAAACTTATAAGAACATTAAAATATTTGAAAAAAATACATGTAAAGAGTATGCATATATAATTTTTTTATTGTGACAAGAAAAATAAAATATTAAAAATATTTTGATATAAATTTACAGTAGAACGGGTTTCGACTGGTTACTATTAAAAACAATAATCCTATAACATGTAGTAGCTAATATATATAACTGGCGAAACAAAACGGGTGCATAGCCCACCATTGCGATAAATAAAGAATAAATAAATAAAGTTGCGTAGGAAATGACCAGTGATGGTGTGGGAGTTGGACTTATATGTCGTACTACCTAATTTGCAGCGTATTAGGTTGTGGATTGGATTCTTGTTCTTTCTTGTTCTTTTTATTCTTACTTCTATCTCCTCTATAATTTTAATTTGAATTTGGATGGGGTGGGGTGTTGCAAATAGGACTGGTGGGGTGGTGCGGCAGTGCAGTACAGAGAAATTGCAACACCTGGAGGGAGAGTGAACGAGTGAGTGACACACACATACATGCATGCATATATGTGAGAGAGAGAGAGAGAGAGAGAGAGAGAAAGAGTTCCATCAACTCACTCACTCACTCTTGTTACTCTTCTTCATCACACTCTCTCTCTCTCTCTCTCTCTCTCTCTCTCTCTCTCTGCTACTGCTTCTGCTTGGTCCGCCTCCGCCTGCACGATCCATTAATACCCTCTCACACCCCGTTCGTTCGTTCGTTCGTTCCTCCATTCATTCATACTGAGCTAACACAATTGGTCTCCTGCGAGCATAAATAGCAACCCAGCCTCCCTCCAATCTAACATACATACTTACACTCACCCTCATTAATATATATATTATAGCCACCCACCCACCCACCCACCCAATCATATCATATCATATCCACTTCAATTTCTCCTTAACTAGTAATTTGTTCCCTCCTAGTGCTCCCTGCATCAACCTTACCTTAACCTTAACCTTACATACATACATGGAGAGAAACCTAGAGAAAATAGAAGAAGAAGAAGAAGAAGAAGAAGAAGAAGAAGAGTTCAGTGGGGCGGGGGACCCAATTTCTGAGTATGGTAGCAGCACCATAATCAGTAATAATAATAATAATACTAGTAGTAATGGTGTAGCAGCAGTTCATGCGAGAGGGCAAGTAAGAAAGCAGCAGCAGCAGCTACGGGGGGAGGGTGCCTCTGCCTCTGCCTCTAGCAGCATCAATAATAATAATAATAATGTATTCAGCAGCCGCAGCAGCAGTGTGAGGCGGACGGCGTGGTGGTGGTGGTCGGGGTCGGGTTTGAGTAGTAATGTCCGTCGTCATCATCATCATCATCATGATGTTCATGTGCAGAGAGGGCCAAGGATGCGCAGGTCCCGGCGCTCTACCTTGGCCCTGGACGCCCTCACTTTTCCTACCTCTGGATCCCACCCACCGCCCCCGCTACCATCCCCACGTGTAACTATCGTCTATTCTGCGCTTTCTCTCTTGCCTCATTTAATAATTATTTATTTCCTGCTCACCTCTCTCTCTCTCTCTCTCTCTCATCTCTATGTTATGTGATTTTTGTCTTCAACTTCACATGCATATAATATAATACAACAAAATTGGCAGGATAAATATATTATATTAGTTCACCAGATTTTCAGCGGAGCTTCCTCCACACTATTAATTTAATTTTACTATTTTTTGTCTTTTTGGTTAGTAGTATATGATTTTCTCCTAAATGGTAATGGTTTGATTGTTACTTTTGTTAGGAAATCGATCGTTCGAAACTCTGTTATCTTTTCAAGAAGCAGCTGAAGAATAGTGACGTGAATTCCCTGGGAAGAATCATCCTTCCTAAGGTATGCAGAATTAATTATATTTATCTACCTGTCTTTTACTTCCTCATATCTTCACACACACACACACATATATATATATATATGTTTGCATTATTATTTAAAATTAGATTCGATATACCTCTATTGTGCAGAGGGATGCAGAGGCTCATCTCCCGGTGCTTGAGGCCAAGGAGGGGACATGTATCATCATGCTTGATATGGATGCTACTCATCACTGGCGCTTCAAGTTCAGGTACGTACCATGTAACAACCTTATCTAATTATATATATATATATATATATTATGCTCTTCTACTATTTTGACCCTAGCTAGCTAGCTACCTTCTATTATTAGCTTTCATTGTATCTGAAATTTTAAAATAAAATAAAAATAAAAATAAAAATTCAAATGCATGCATGGATTGGTGTCCATTGAACTGAATTTCCCATGCAACCCGGTCCCGTCCCGACTAGCTGATGTGAGGTCTCTCTGTGAATTATATTAATGCCATGCGTACTTTGATTGATACACAGATACTGGCCAAATAACAACAGCAGGATGTACGTGCTTGAGTCCACTGGTAATAACAAATTTATTAAATGAATAAATAAACATTCCTTTCTGGTGTTTTCGTAAGTATGTGTTTTTCTTCGTCTTTAGGGGGCTTCGTCTCTACTCATGGCTTGGCAGCTAACGACTACATTCTTGTGTACAAGAATGTTGAGGACGGGCAACATGTAAGATTCAGTTTCATAGTTTTTTTCTTGTTTTTAGCTATGATGATGGTTGTAGTGTAGCAATAGGCAGCATCATGCCCATGAACTGAGATATGTGTGTTTTGATTGGATTGATATGATAATAATAATAAGGTGATTGAAGCAAAGAAGAAAGAAGAATATGAACAAGTGGTGGGGAAGGTAGGAAGTGAGTTGGAGTTGGAGTTGGAGATGGAGATGTTTGCTGCAGCAGCAGGAGCTGAGGTGCCTTCTCTGGTGGGCATGGAAATCTTATACCAGTACAGCGCTGCATTCCTTGATGATTCCCCACTGAATTACACAGGAGGTGGAGGTGAAGCCGAAGCTTTACAGCCCATCCTCAACTTACCCACAATCCCACCACCCCCTGCTGAAAACTACTACTACAACCACAACCACAACCACCAAGAAGAAGAAGACTTCCAAAGCTAAAACAACTACAGATACGATCAATGACAGGGTGGGGTGGGGTGGGGTGGAGTGACATGGTCATATTTAAATACTGTCAATATAATAGGTATATATCTATTATGATGATAGGACTTTTTTTCGGTCTATGGCTGGTTAGTTTTGGGGAAGCCACGGACCCCGCCATGCCAACATCACTTTGCGTAATAGTAGTAAATGCATCCATAAAATAACAAAGACATAGGAAAGGGAAAGGATGGATGATCATGGGAGGGCCGCTTAGCTTAATTCACAGAAAGAATGGAAGAGAGGCTGGCGGAGGTGGTATGTATGTATGTATGTCCCTCCATCCTTCTCCTCATCCAAAGTTGACTTTTTGGGGCTACGTAACAGACAGACATGCATACATAGATAGATTAGATGCCAGCCAACATGACGCAACCACAACAGCACTTGCCAATTGTATAACTCACTAGTTGAAACCCCACCCCACCCCACCCCCGCCCCCCCTTCAAACAGTCAGTCCGTCATGTATAAATGATGGATCCAAAAAAACAAAAACCCTCAAATATTTCATTTGATTCATCAGCTGCAGCCCAAAGGCAACTGTAAATCTTCACTGGCAATGTTTTACATTTTCATCCGAATTATTTTTAATTGTTTACCAGTCAGTCAACCGGTTCCTAACAAAAAAATCATTTCGGCACTCTCCAGTGCTCTCTCAAAGTATCATTTAAACTGGAAAAAAATACCACTAGTCATTCATTACCTCATGCTGCTCTCTCAAAGTCTCGTTTAAACTGGAAAAGAATACCCCTATTCATTCATTACCTCAAGGTGCAAGCAAGCAAATCAACCGCTTCCATAATTATTCCCCAACCCCACTTTGGAGAAGGTTTCAATGCGTTATATATTCAAACTTTGCATCTGGCTATGCTTTTGCTGCTTCCGGGGCAGCCACAACTGGCGCAGGAGCAACACCACCAGTAGTTGGCCTGCAATGTTTAAGTTATGCATATAAGGCACACACACCAGCAGATGCAGAAATCTCCCAATAAGAAACCAGCAAGGGAAGAAGAACTCACAGCCCAACAAAAACTTTAAAAGCATCATATAGCCCCCACTGTGCTCCTGTAAGAGTTCCAATCATGACGATACGAAGAGGAAGCCCCCGAGTAAACAGACCCCACAGCCCAAGCTTCTTTACAGCCTAGCAAGATTAGAAAACAAAAACTCGATAAGAACCCCCCAGCAAAGATGGAAAATTAGCATAGTAACAACAGGTGGGTTAAAAGCAAACAAGCATGTACACTCACATCGCCAACAGTAGCTCCCTTAGCATTGTTCAAGAACGAGACAAGATTGTCTGCTGGGTGAGACACAATGGCACAGAAAACACCAGCTACATATCCTCCTGCAAAACTCACACCAAGCTGGAGGGGCTTGCTGCACTCATTTTTGGGTGTAGGAATTGCATGCTTATAAATAAGCTCCACAATGGTCTCAAAGGAGGCAAACTTCATCATTGTATCTAACAACATAACACCCGCTTAAATGCTGATATACTAGCAATACAGATCTCAGAATATATACAAACATTTTTAATTTCAAATGCGAACTATTAAAGAAAATTAGAGCATATCACTCTGCAATAAGTATCACACATGCATCACTACATAGAAATGAGGGAACAAAAGATTCGGTTTAAGTACCATCGCATTACTTTATCAGTTGATAATATTACAAGGGGCGACAAAAGATGGATTCCAACAAAAAGTGAAGATGACTTTATAGAATGGATTAAGAAGAAATTTACGGTAAAAAAAAAAAAAAAAACGTCTCACTTCTCAAATCATTATGCACTTGTTTTGTGAATCAAGAAATAGAGAAGCGCACGATCCAAATAGGCATCCTATGAAAACAGAAAATTTAATCAAGCCACCTGAGTCCAACAACCAATTACTCAAATGACATAAAGGCTGGGATCAATGTTGTATTCATTTTATTTTATTTTTTTTTTAACATCCTACCAGCATGTCAAACAAAACCTTTGGTAAACTTGTAATACAGAAAATGAAGTCATTAGCATGAAATGTCTACTTCTAGGTAGAGCTGTAAAAAGAACGAACAGGTCAGAACAAACAGGTCGCGAGCTCGCCTTGTTTAAGCTCTTTAAGAGCTTGTTAACTAAGTTAAACGAGCCAACTTAAATTTTGGCTCATTATATTCGTGAATGAGCTCAAACTTGTTTGCAAACGTTCCGCAATATTTGTTAAAAACTTAAAATGAATATTTTTATATTGAATAAATATAAATCTTTATAAACATTATACTTAATTCTAATTTTTTATTTAAAATTATTGCTAAAAATTATAATTTTTATTAATTGAATTTAAATTTAAATACAATAAAATAAAAATTCTCTTAACAAGCCAAGTCAAACCAAACAAGGACAAGAAAAATTGCTAAATAAGCCGAGCTCAAACAAAAATTCCAACTCGTTCCTCTTAACGAACACACATGAACCGACCTCGAGTCTATAACGAGCCGAGCTCAAACATAAAAAGCTCAGCTTAGTTCGGCTCGTTTACAGCTGTACTTTAGTTTTAAGAAAAATGATAATATAATAATATAAAATACAGCACAAAAGCCCTTACATTATTTAGAGTACATTTCATTATCAACCACTATTTTACTATCAGAGCAAAACACTTTGATCATCCCATAGGGCAGAAAAAAGGGTCAATTAGTTTTAACTTACATGGGATTTGGCGGCCCCAAAGAGGAACTATACCCTTGTACAACCTGCAAGTATTACATTACAAACCATGGCTTTCACACAATTCAATATACATGACAACCGGTGAAATCATTAAAACAAAGCAAAACTCATGCACATACCCAAGAGCACCTTCAGATCTCACAAACTTGGGAAGTCCATCAGCTAAACCTCTAGCAAAGCCAGGCTGGGTCTGAACACGAACCTTTACAGCTTCAAACGGACAAAGAGCTACATCTGCAATCACCTCAGCGGATGCAGAACCAGCAAGATATATTAGTGTCTTGTATCTAGTCGCATTTTCTGGTCCGGCAAGATCAGAGTAGTACTTCTTGAAGAATTCATAGAATCCAAACTTGCAGGCACCCTGAGCACTGTAACCAAGTAGGGTAGGCACCCAGCCTCTAAAGAAACCTTTAATTCCTTGCTCCTTGAGCAACAGCCCAAAACCAGATGTGATACTTTTGTACCTTGCAGGATCAATCTGAAAAAGTAGACCCATGTAGTCAGTTTCTGTCTTGCAATAAAATTATATCACCCAATCATTAACTGCCTAAACACCGGAGACTATGCGGGTTTCTATTGACCCAGTTTCTCCTTCATCCCTCCACTATGTCTTCACAACAACAAATTCGGCTATTAAGTCTATCTTAGAAAAACCCATTCAAAGTGAGAGGAAAAAAATATTTTTTTTCGGAAACGGCCGAGCCCAATAGTAAAGTTGGGATTTTTGAGATAAAGAAACACAACCTGAAATCATTAAGCTTTTTTCCTTAGACAAAATAATTTCACATAAATCTTTTACATGCTTGAGTAAAAGAATAATTTAATTACATTGAACGGTCCCGGAAATTGAAGTATAGCCGAGAAACGCAAATCAGAATTCAGTTCAACCATTAAGCCTCGGCAGCAACTCGGGTTCCATAAACATTGAAGTTAGATTTAACAGAAAACCTCACAACGCACTTTGGACGCTAAAATATAGAACAATACCGTAGAGATCACGGATCTAATTGGAGAGTTGAAGACCAGATAAATATAGAGAGAGCAAAAAAAAAAAAAAGGTCAAAGAAAGAGCGTAAGATGCGTGCAGAGATGCCGGATCTGAATAATAGTAATAGTTAAGGAAGAGAAAAGGGAAAACAGAAGAGATCTGAACCTGCATATTGCATTTGACGAGATCAAGTGGAGTGACGGCCATGTGAGTAAGACCACAGCTGAGAATACCGCCGGCGGTGCAGGCGGCGTAGAACTGAGGAGAGTACATCTCGATCTTGCGGGGCTCAGCGGGGGAGGGAATCATGAAGGTGGGAGGCGGAACAGGGGCAGAAGCAGGGGTTGGGGTGGGGGTGGGGGAAATTTGATTTAGGGTTTTGGTGGAGTAAAGGAAGTGAGGGATGAGAGATGGACAGCGATCGGAGGAGAAAGCCATGATCGAGGGGAGAGAGAGGCGGCGGCTTCTCCTATTTAAGTTAGGTTTAGGGTGGAGCGATCGGTGATCAACAAGACGAAGGCGGGACGAGGAGGAGAAGCTGCCTGCCTGCTGTGCTGCGCTGCGCGGCCGCTCTCTCTATTGCCTCTATTATACTACTAGTACTAGGGTACTAGTCTGTATACGCACGCGGAGGAGGACGGGGTTTGAGAATGTTCAATGTAATGAGGTAATAGCAAGTTGGCTTTTTTTTTTCTAATATTCTCTTTCAATTCATTAAAAAACGAAATACTCCGTCCTGTCCATTTTAAATCATCCTTTAAAAAAAAATTATAATAAAAAAAAATAATAGCATTTTATTGGTCAGTTTTAAATTTTGATATTTTTATGTATATATTAATTGTATATTTGTAATTTAAATAAAAATTAAATGTATTTTAATTAATATATAATTAGTTTTAATATACGATTATTTTTTCTAAAATAAAAAACAAATATTACGGGCAAAAATATGATTCCTTGAAATGGGAAGGAGGGGGTATATATTTCAGTCCGTCTCTAACATTAATAATATATTTATATTTGTATATTTATTTATATAAATATTATTATATTAGTATTATAAGATACCTATTTTTGTAATTTTTTCTTTATTTATATTATATTTTATATAATAATTAATATTTAAATATTAACAAATAAAAAGTAAATATAGCTTTTGGAGTTGGACGGAGGTATTATATTTTATTAAAAAATAATAAAATAATTGAAATATATATTAAAATTTAGTTAGAAATGAAAGTAAATAATAAGATAATGTAATAAAAATAATGATATTTGTTGTCCATAAGTGTTAAATAAAATTGTTGATGCAGATTTTCAACAATAAAAACGTAAAATTCGAAAAAAGAAATTATTTTCAAATTTGATTAGAAAGATGTCTGAGATTGAAAATCCCTAGATACTGTACGATACATAAGAAAATTGAAAAGAAACACTAAAGATTGTAAAAGTAAAAAGATGATCCCAAAAGAAATTTACTAAATTTAATGTCGATTGAAGATCCATTTTTTAGGTCATGAAAAGGCTTATTTAAAAGCCTATGTCAACCACCCCAATGTCGTTATCAGGTCGTACCTCTACATCCGTTCACCTGTTGTAACTTCTTCCAACCGCTCTAAAACTGCTACTCAATTGCCCCAACCGACCTAAACATCCACCTCCTCGTCTTCCTTCGCCCGACTTCCACTTGTACGACCTCCGTATCAACTGGCCTAAACACCACCGTCTTATCTTCCTTCGCCCGATTTCCCTTTGTCCGACCTCCACACCAATCGACCTAAACGCCTACTGTTCTCATTTTCCTTTGCCCGACCTCTGTATCAACCGATCACCTAGTCGAAGGTCCTCTCAAAGAAGCCCATTTCTTAGTAACGCCTTGATCGTTGGGCCTACACCCAAACCCATTTTAAAACCTTAATACAATTGACAGGCCCATCGAATCATACACCAATCCATGGCCCAATTTACAAATCCATTCTCGGGAACCCTACACATTGGTTTTCCTCGCTCAACAACTTGTTTCATCCCGCCCGACTCCTAAGCGTCACTTCTCGGATTGCGTGAGACGTGACGTTTAGGGGTTTGTAGCATGTTACAGTACTATCATTACACTGTTTTATGTCACATCGCAGGGTTTATGTAAAACCCTTCTCTCACCCTTTCATATTCGCGCACTCAGAATCCAAAAATCCTTTCTTACCTCTCTCTAGCAAACATCCTCCAAACCTCTTCTCTTTCGTTTTTTGCACATCTCTCGCCATGGCCAATCAATATGTTCCTGCTTTACCTTTTGACAGGACTGATCCATCGGTGCCTTTTGTGGCTTCGAGGGTTCTTACTCCTACCATTCATCCCTACTGCACCACCACCGAAGACGCCGATCGTATGAAACTCGTCGTCTCCCAAGTTTCTCCAATTGCCATAAATGATGCTGCCTTCAAGCCGGAAAGACTCTTGGACAACATCAGAACTCACCTCACTGATCCTACATATGCCTACCGTAAGTGGCATGCGAGACTTCTCCCCCACTTTCAAGAACAATGGAGGAGGCAGGGCATCGATAAGGCCATCCTCCTTTCAACCCAACCTCTTCACCTCCATGGTTGCAGAAGGGGACCCGCCGATGATCCGCCGGCCTGAGAAACCGGTCGGGAGGCAAACTTATCCTCTAGTTCTGCCCTCGTCTGCTCTCCCAATGCCACAGGTAACTCAAAAATCCTTTTTTTTCCCCATATTTCCACATGACTATTTTCTATTCTCTAACTCGTTTATTATTATTCAACTATGAACCTGAAGCGATCGCGGTAGTGCCCGACCAAGTCGCTGCACTGCCCGACCAGGTCGGTGTCCCGCCTTTGCAGCCAGCTGTCCAGCCTGTGGGAGAGAGACCTCTTGCAGCTCTACAACCAGTCCAACCCAACCCACCACCTCATGAGGTTGAGGAGATTTCTTCCTCGAGGTCGGGTGAAGCTTCCGTGAACCAAAACCCAAGGGATGTGGTTAGTATTCCTTCACCTTTACCCTCTGGTTCCTTTGTTTTTTCCTTAACTGAAATTCTTCTTTCAGGGCTCGGAACCGATCGTTGCCCATCGTCTGCAACCACCAGACGAATCGGCCATCGGCCCAATGACTCGCCGAGGTCCTCCTTTGGCGTTTCGGATCATGGCTCATTCCGAGGCAACAACCGTATTCAACCAGGTAGATTTCGACCCTGTATCAAATCTTTTGGTAATTTCATTTCTGTTCCTCCATACTCTAACACTTTTTCATTCCAGGCTGCCCAAGAGATGAACGTACTGGCCCGAGTAACTCTCCCGATGCCAGCCCGACCAATCATAGCACATTGTGCTGACTTGTCTTTCGCCGACCTGATTCCAGCCGACCTTGAGGCTCTGGTTCAGGTCGCGATAGACTTGTTGGTGCAACATCCAATGGAGTTGAGAGCTACTCCCATTCTCGATCGAATGATGGGAAGGATTACAGAACTCTAAGCCGAACTACCTCTGATCCGACCTCCATTGTCCGAGGCCACGTCATCTCAACCGATCGCTGATCCGGCTAGCCTCGAAGCATCCTTGAAAAAGGTCAATGAAGACCTTGATCACGACAAAGCTATGCTGGATGAACTCCAACAAACGCGACAAACACCGGCGGCTGAGATCTCCCAGAAGACGGAAGAACTCAGACGCCTTCAACAACAATTGGAGTTCCTGGATGGCAGCATCTAGGAAAGAGGTCGCCTGGTAAAGGAACATAGCCAAACGCAGACGAGTCTCTACGATCAACTACAAGCAAGCATACGGATGAGACTCATCAGAGGACACCAAGAGGCCTATCAGCGTCGTCGGGCAACCCGGTCGGAACTGAAATGGGCCGACCTCCGAGCTGCCCTTCGGGCCCTCCTTTCTCCATTACTTTGTATATATATAGTCTTGAGACTTAGTTTTGTAATCTATTATTCATAACATAGATCCATGATTTTTGCACCTTAACTAAGTCAGCAATTTGAACACCACAACATGCATATATATAATTCATATTTCTCCACTACGAATCATCACCAATACCCATAAACTTGCACATACAACCCATGAATTATCCTCGCATTCGTGTCCCTGCCACCAATTGGGAAGGTTCTTTGCAACCATTCCTTGTGGAAAAACACTCCACAGGCCATCATGCTGAAGACCTGATACAGGTGCTCAAACAGCTGGACTTTAAATTCAAGTTTTCTGGTAGAGGTAGGAAAATCATACATCGTACGATTCACCTAATGGAACGTGTATCCACCAGCTACGAACCCCTAACTGATATTATTACTCGCATATCCGACCTCGATCATCATGTGGATATGATAAACCATCATGTCATGGCCATTCTCCCTGATCTTAACTGGAACAACATTTTCTGCCAGCAAAGATCAACACTCTCCAGACTGCGTGTACTTGTAGAGCAGGAAAGTCACTCTTTACAAGATATGAAAGCTCGCACCGAACAAGACCTTCAAGAAATGCAAGACCAATAGGATCGTTATCGTCCCGACCTAGAAGATCTTCTGGACCAGGAACCTGAAATAGTTTCTGCGAATTGGGATGAAATTTCTAAACCAGAAGATGATCATGTTTGTGTCACCCTTTCGGATGATGAATAAAAACCCTGCCCTGTGGGTTCGAACCCTTAAAGGGTTCATAGATTTCTTGTAATAAAAATTAATGACAATGTTCTGAAAAGGCAATAAAATACATTTTCAGATACTTGGCATTAATATTCTCATGTACCAATTTCCTTTCCTGATTCACAATAATAAAAGCTCCGTTTTCAATTACTTTGTGAATGATGAAAGGATCTTCCCAATTGGGAGACCATTACCCTAACTGATCCACTTTCTTATATGTAGCAAGAATTGTTTTCCACACCAAATATCCTTCTGCAAAAACTTTAGGGGATACTCTTTTCCCATAATACTTAGCTCTGATCTCATTTTGTCTAACCACCCGATCCAAAGCATTCAGTCGTTCGGTGTCCACTTCCTCCAGCCGTTGCCACATCCTTTGTACATATGCTTCATCATTATTCACCGTTGTATTAACTAACCTATGTGAAGATCCAATTAATTCGGCAGGAAGTACAACATCTTGCCCGAACATTAGTTGGTAGGTAGAAAATCCAGTAGAAGTATTCCTATTATTTTGGTGGGCCCACAATGCCTGAGGCAACAATGTATGTCATTTCCTCGGATTTCCCTCCTCCATTTTCCAGATGATGCCGATGACGATTTTATTTGCCGCTTCGGCCAATCCATTAGCCTGTGCGTAGTAAGACGAAGAATGATGCAGTTTGATGTTGAACTCGGCCAAAAACTCGATAAACTTTTCCTCGGTAAACATCAAACCTTGATCGGTCGTGATAGTGTAAAGGATCCCAAACTGGTAAATAATATGATTAAGTACGAATTCAATCACTTCTTTCTATGTTGCGTTCTTCAAATGGACTGTCTCTACCCATTTGGTGAAATAATCAGTTGCTACCAAGATGAATGAATGTTGCTTCGATGAAGCCGGATGAATTTTCCCTATTACATCCATTGCCCAGGTTTTGAATGGCCACGGTTTGATTAGCGCCTGGAGTTCCACTGTTGGCAGATGATT